GCCGCGACCCCCACCCCGCTCCGCCTGGCCGAGCACCTGGTGCCCGGCTCCTCGGGGTTAGAGACGCGGGCTCCGAGGCCCGGCCGGGCGCGGGGTCAGGGGACTGCGGGCCTCTGGGGGCGGGGCGCCGCGACACCGAGGCGCTGGGGCGGCAGGAGAGCCCCCCCGGCCGACCCTTCCCCCCGAGTTTCCTTTTCTTTCTGTGCCGCCCAGGGAGGGCCCGGCCGGCCCGCTGGACTGCAGATGTCGCTGGGGCCGCTCAGCTGCCTCCTGCGCCCGCCCCTCGTCAGTGCCCCGCTCGCACCGCATCTATTAGGCACCCTCTGCATGCAGGCCCAGCGCCAGACCTGTTAACGTTTAACCGCGGTGGAGGGCCTGGCCGAGAGCGGCCTTCACCCCCGCCCCGGGGTCAGCGCCGGGCAGCGCCCCGGTCCACACCTGCTGCTCGAGGCCTCCCTACTGGAGGTTACGCAGCACCTACGGGGAAACAGCCCGGGCGTCGCCGGCCAGACGCACCCCGCGCGGGGCTCTGCCTGCTTTTGCGAACTCAGAAGCAGGCGGGACTCAGGGCGGGCGCCGGCAGAACTTCCCTGGGTCTGACCCGGCTGGGCACAGCGCACTTTGGCTCTGGGGCTTCGTGCAAATGCGGGGGCGCTGACTGCTCATCTGTGGTGAAGACCGCGGTCCCAGGAGGGGGCACCAGAGGCAGAGTCTCAGAAGTGATCAAGAAAGGGAGATTTAGAAAGGGAGGGAGGGCACTGAATAGAGCAGGTGACCGCCGGAGCGGGGACCCGGGAGGAAGGGCTGGGTGGGAGGAGACGGGCAGAACCCCAGGGGCCGCGCTGCCACCCTGCTCGGCCCCGCCCCCTGACCCCTGCCCGCGGCCCCGCGGTGACATCTGACCTTGTGGCGGCCGCAGACTGGGGACAAAGGGGCCGGGGCCCATCTGCCGCGGGGGCGCCCGTGGGAACCGTCAGACGCCGGCCCGGCGCCTGGGAACCCACCCCGCCCCCCAGGTGACCTTGGCTCCCTGTGCCCCAGCGGCCACCTGGGGGACTGGGGACCAAGATCACCTGTATAGACCCGCGGTGGGGGAGGGAAGTCGCCTCCTCTGCTCCCCTCCCCCAAGGTGGCCTGCCTCAGTTTCCTGCCTTCTTCCAGCCTGGGTCGGGTGCAGAGCCCGGTGAGGAAGGACAGGAGACGGTGCCTCCCACCCTGTGCTGCCTCGGGGGCGGGGAGAGCGGGTTCCAGGCGCGGACTCGGGTGACCTCCAGCCAGGCCCCTGTCAGTGTCCTGGGGAGAGGCGGCCGTTGGCCCACACCTGCCCAGGTGTGGCCTGGAGCGCCCGCCCCAGGCAGGGGCCCAGATCTTCCTAAGCCTCGGCTTGGGTTTCAGCTGCGGCGAGGAGGGGACAGCTGGCCCCCAACCCCAGCCCCTCCGTCCGCCCCCAGGGGCCACAGGGGTGTGGCGTAGCTCAGGACTTTCGAGCTAAGCCTCTGCCTGCACGCGGCTGGCTGGGCTAAACCAGCCCCAACCCCTGCGGGAGGGAAGCCAGAACCTGGGAGCGGGGGCGGTCTGCGAGAGCCAGACAGTTGCACACCCCTCTGGACCTGGGGTCTCAGCCCCGAAGCACAAGCACTTCTGGGCTTCTGCCCTTATAGTTGGTGCCTGTCCTCCACAGCCTCATTTTTTTTTCTACATTTTTGGTTTTTTCAATGCTGGAGATGGAACCCAGGGCCTTCACCCTTGGGTTGTGTCCTTAGCCCTTCTTTTAATTTTTTTGAAACCGGGTCTCAGAGTCACTAAATTGCTCAGAATTGAGATCCTCCTGCCTCAGCCTTCCTGAGTGCTGGGATTTCAGATTGTGTGCCAACTTGCTTGATATTTTTTTTTTTTTTTAATTTTTCTCCGGTACCGGGAACCGAACTCACAACCTTGCGCTTGCCAGGCAGGCGCTTTTGCCGCTGAGCTAAATCCCCAGCCCCCTTGCTTGATATTTTGCTCCACCTTGAAACACAAGTCTCAAAGCCATCTCAGATTCCTCCTGCCTCCTGAGCATAAGCGCTGACCTATCATGAACCGGAACTGTCTGGCCTGTCTCCCTTTGGAGCACTGTAAGACCTGCCGGCCAAAGCCAGCGTCCTGGGCTTCTGGACAGGGACAGGTGGAACTTCAGCCCTGGCTGTGTCACTTCACTGACCTGGAAGTGCTCCACCCTGGGGTCACTGCAGTCCCGGGTGCTTCTTTTTCTTTTTGTCTTTTTTTTTTTCCCCAGTACCGGGAATCAAACTCATGACCTCCCACTTGCCAGGCAGGTGCTGTGCCCCTGAGCTAAATCCCCAGCCCCCGATTTATTTTTGTCTTTTTGAGACAGGGTCTCACTATGCAGTTCAGGCTGGCCTTGAGCTCACTTTGTAGCCCAGGCTGGTCTCGAACTCGAAAGGATCCTCCTGCATCAGCCTCCCAAGTGCTGGGATTACAAGCGTGAGCCACCACGCTCGGCAGTCCTGGTTGCTTCTCACCCGACTCCTCTGATGAGGGGGGCCAGGCCTTAGACCCACCCAGGCAGCCCAGGAGCCCACGGCGCAGAATGAGCCAGCAGGCAGTCGCTCCTCGGCGACAGTGTCACCAAAGGACATTTATGACACTGGCTACAGAAGGGTCTCCCCCAGGAGGGGTGGCGCAGGGCGCGGCCGCGGCCTCCCCGGGGCTCGGGCTGTGGCCTCCAGCCTGGCCAGCTCCTCAGCCTGCTGGGCTTCCATCTGTGCCATCTGCTTCTCCAGCTTCCGGCGCTGCTCTTCCTGCTTCCGGTGGGCTCCCCGGAAGCCCAGCACCAGGGCACTGCGGGGTCCAGGCAGGGACTGGCTGCCTGTTCCCAGCTGGGCACCCCGCTGCCCCAGCACCACTCGGCAGCCATCGGGAGGAGGGGGAGGGCAGAGCATGTGGCGGGGACTGAGGCCCAGGGGGCAGCGCTGACAGGGGACCCGGCCCACCTGTGAGCTCTGCAGAGCTCGCAGCTCAGCTCGGCACTCTGGGCCCGGCCTGCGCGGCCTCGCTGGGCCACCTGCTCCAGCTGTGCCCGGAGGGACCGCAGCTGCTCCCGAAGGCCCTGGGCGCTGGGCGGGGCGGGGACAGGGGTCACGGGTCACGGGTCACGGCCAGAGCCTGTGACTCTGCTCCCCGCCCTGCCGCAGGGCTGCCACTCCCCTGGAGCCCCTCAGCCCCCCACCCAGCCCCAGCAGGCACCGGCTCAGGGACGCTGCCAGGTCTTGGGCCAGCTGCTCCTGGTCCCACCTTCTGCACTCTGGGCCTCCGTCTGCGCCGCTGGCCAGGCCCTGCAGGAGGCAGAGGGAGCGGAGAGGCGTACAGCTGGTGGCAGCCATGAGCCCCTGTCCTCGGGCTCTTGAGGTCACCCAATGTGAGTAACCGCTTCCTGGTGAGGAAAACAGCTAAGGGGATGCATCAAGGCAGTCGATGGCCTCCTCACGAGGGGACCCCGGCTCAGGACGTCAGAAGGCGGCCAGGGACTTCACTGTTTACTGACTTATTGGAGTTTTGAGACAGGATCTACTGTGTACTTCGGACAGGCCTTGAACTCACTATGTAGCCCAGGCTGGCCTCAAACTTAGGGCGATCCTTCCGCCTCAGCCTCCCAAGTGCTGGTGACAGTCTGCGCCACCACCTGGTCAAGGACTTGAGCACAGTAATAAGGAAGTGACCCGTGTTCCTGGCAGGCGGTGCAGGTGCAGGGGTGACTCAAGGGGCAACACAGTAACCCGGATGATCCAGCTGGGGACAGCAGCCCATGCCCGCCAGGAGGAAGGCTGAGGCGGGAAGACTGCTGAACATAGGAGGTCTGGCCCTGTGCTAGGAAGCAGTGACCTGGTTTCAGAAAGGAGGAGAAGCAGAAGACAGACATGGTGGGGTTCACCAACATTCAGGGGGCCAAGGCAGAAGGGTTGAAAGTTTGAGCAACTTCGCCTAAAAAAAGCCTAGGAAACTTGGCGAGACCATGTCTCAAAGTAAAATAGAAGGACAAAAGGGACTGGGGCTCTCAGTCAGTGGCAGCCCACTTGCCTTGCACACAGGAGGCCCTCCATTCAGCTCCCCAACAGCCGGGAAGACCTTAGGGGACAGATGTGAGCAGACAGGAGAAAAGGGAAGACATTACTGAAGGGTCTGGAACCAAACTGGAGGAAGTGGTGGCTGAGGCAGGAGGATCGCATGAGTTCAAGGCCAGCCAGGGCTACATAATGAGACCGTGTCTCAAAAAACCAAACCAAAACAAAAAATTAACAACACTAAAAAAATAAGAGTGACCCCTACTCTCTCCCGTGCTCCTGGGGGCCTTTCAAAGGCGATTGAATCCTGAAGACAAACCGACTTCCAGTGAGGCGGCTTGGCCCGACTGGAGGGGGTGGGGCCACCAGGTAGAGTGTCCGCCCCCCTCAGCAAGAGCTCCTCCCTTCGCTCCCAGCCTCCTGAGCGCCCAGGCCAGCCCCTTCCCTCCGCCGCCAGACCCTGCCTCTGTGGCTTCCGCCCTGGAGCCAGTGGACCCTGTGCTGGAAACGGGACCACAATGCACCTCGCCTCCTGTAAGACGCGGCCCGGTCCTGTCTCTGTCTCTGCAGCAAGGAAAGTGATTACCACACAGGATCTCCCTAACTGCCCAGGCTGGGCTCCAACTGCGATCCTCCTGCCTCAGCCTCTCAGTAGCTGGATGGTTGGGAAGCAGGACCTGAAGCTGAGAGGGTCCCCTCGCTGTCCCCGCCGGCTCACCTGGGGCCACGTCTCTTCCTCGTCACTGCTGTCTCCCGCGCTGCTGTCCCCACCGCTGCTGCTGGCCCCGGGCCCGGCCCGGAGCTGCGCCTGCTCCCAGCGCAGCTGGTCCAGCAGCAGTAGCAGCGCGGGCGCCTGGGCACGCAGGGCCGCCTCCCGCAGCTCCAGGCCCCGCTTTTCGCGCCGTGCCAGCTGCAGCTGCAGCGCCAGGTCCGCAAGCGTCTCCTAAAAGAAGGAGGTGCAGAGGAGTCAGCTGCTGAGGAAACTGGGGCTCCAGGACCAAGCGAAAACCCAGGCCTCCACCGTGACCTCAGCAGGTGGAAATGACCCCCTTCCTGAAGATCTACAGCCGGGGAAATAGCATTTCCTTCATTGTTGTTTTGTTTGAGACAGGGTCTCTCTATGCAGTTCAGGCTGCCCTTGAATTTACTATGGAGCCCAGGCCGGCCTCAAACTCACAGTGATCTTCCTGCCTCAGCCTCCCCGGGGCTGGCATGACAGGCCTGCACCACCAAGCCTGGCTTTGGAAATGCACTTCCTCAAGGACAGATATCTTAGACAAGCTCAAGCAGCAGCTCATGGAAGCTTCTGGAATTTCTCTAGCTCCAGAGCCCTTTTATGTGTGTCTGTTTCAGAGCTGAGACTGGGCCTCAGTCTCAGGTTCCGTGTACGCCAGACACACCCTGCACCACAGAGCAACTGTGCCAGCGCAAAACCTCAGATCCTTCATGCAGTCTCCGGTGAGAAACTCTGCCTCGTGGAGCAAACTCCTAGGCATCCCTCAGAACCTCAGACGCAGCTCTCCTTGCCTGTGGTCCCCCAACAGCATCCCTGCCAGCCTCAGCAAAGGGTATTGTCCCTCCAGCAGAGACTGACATGGCGACCCCAGCCGTGTATACCCGTGTGGCCACCAGGTCCTGCTGGATCTGTGTCTTCCCCAGCCGGGGCCGGGCCGGGCCGGGCTGCACCTCCAGAATGGCCTGTACCATGGCTTCCGCATGGGCTGTGGTGGGCCTGGGTGCCAAGGTGGAGTCCGGCTCTGGGGGAAGCTTCACCAGGGCGCGGTGCTCCTGGAGACGCCGCAGGTAAGCGTGGAGCCGGGCGGCCACTTCCTGCGCAGTGACTGCGGCCTCGCTGCTGTCCTCAGGGCTGCGGGAGGCACGGGGCTGCGTGAGCGCGGCAGCTGAGCCAACTTCCGGACGGCCCGCAGGCGCCATCGTCCTCCCCCTCGCTGGCCAGGGCCCACCCTGTGTCACACCGGCTCGGGAGGCCCTGAGCGACAACACGGCGGGCGTCACGCAGCACCTCACGGCACCAACGGTCCTGCCATCGTGGGGGACAAAATCATCCCGCTGCTCGTATGAAAACAGTGGACAGCGGCAACCCCATGGGACCACACTCTCTCCCACAGCCTGGACGTCGTCACCCGGCCCAAGAGCAGACCCTGGGCGCCACCACTTAGCCCTTGGGCACTGGTGCTCGTGACAGAACGGCGGACAGGGCCGCACTCACCCAGTGCCGACATCATGGACAACATCACAGCCCGGTGGACCACACCGTCATGCCAACCTGATGGGCACGCGCTTATGCCAAAATGCAAGATGCCATCCTGCCAACCGCACAGCCTCAACGCAGCTCATACTACCTCGGTGGGCACGTTGCCATCCATCCAGCGGGCACCAGGACTCCGACAACATGGTGGCCAGCCCAATCGGCACCACCTCCCCGCTTGCCAACCTCCGTGTGCTGGTTCTAAGTGGTAGACGCCAGCATCCGCATTCACGCCAACCCTGCCGGTCCCACGCACAGCCCAGTGGCTGCCAACCGGCACGCCAGCCTCCTGCCTCCCAACAGGCCGCGTGTAACCATGCGCTGTGCCAACCGGCGTGGCAACTCGGTGCCCACCTCCCCAAGCACAGCGCTGCGAGTCCCGGGCTGCAGGGGGCGGTGGGCCGTGTCCCCCCGGCCCTCCCTGCTGGGGCAGTCGGGGCGCCGTGTACCTGGGCTGCGGGGCCCCTCCGTCCACAGCAGCCTCCTCTCGTGCCAGCAGCCTGCGCGCCTCCTCCTGGGCCACCTGCAGGTCACCCCCGCGGGCGGTGGCGCTGGCCTCCCGCAGGGCGAGCAGTGCGCCGTAGGCCTCCTCGCAGTCCTCGCTGGGGGACACGGCGTCAGTGCCGGGCAGCGCGCACCCCAGCCCGCCCCGGAGGGAGACGGCTGCGCCCTCGCCCCCACCCACCTGAACTGCAGCGCCAGGCGCAGCGCGGTGGCCTCCGCCTCCAGCCGGCCCAGCTGCATACTCAGCCCCTCGCAGCGGCCCTTGGAGCCCTGCAGCGCGGCCAGCAGCAAGCGGTTGAAGCCCTTAAGCTTCTCCACACTCCTGCAGGGGACAGGCGGGGGGCACCGCTCAGGCCAGGCCCGCTCCCGGCCGGCCCTGGCGGGCTCCGTCTGGGCCTCACCCCCGGAGCTGCTCCTCCTGCCCCTCCAGGACGTGTGTGTCGGGCCCTGGCGGCTGCTGGCAAGGGCCGAGGGTGTGGGCACTGGGGTCGCTGTGCAGGCGCCGGAGCAGGGGGTGCGCCGGGTGCTGCAGGAAGAGGTGACTTGATTTACCCGGATTATCATGCAGAGCCCCACTGGGAGTTGGGGCTTGCTATACTCTTTTTGTTTAGGGTAGTGATGGGGATTGAACCCAGAGCTTTTGTACATTTCTATTTTTTTTTTTTTATTTTCAGACTGAGTCTTGCTAAAATGCTAATTTGCCCAGGCTGAGCTCAAACTTGTAATCCTCCTGCCTCAGCCTTCCAGAGAGCTGGGAGACAGGTGTGTGCCACTGTGCCTGGGTCCCCAGATGTGTAAAAAAATTTCCAGTGGGCATAGTGGTACACATCTGTCATCCCAGCACTCAGGAAGGAGGCTGAGGCCAGTCTGAGCTACACAAGCAACTTCAAGACCAGGTTCTCGATATGTAGCCCAGCCTGGCGTCAGACTTGCAGTGGTCCTCCTGCCTCAGCCTCCCAAGTGCTGGGATCCCAGATGTGTGCCACCACACCTGGCTTTTTTGTTTTGTTTTGTTTTTGAAAAATCGCCCAGGCTAGAGCCAGACTCTACCTCAGCAGACCCTCCTGCCTCAGCCTTCAGAGAAGCTGGGCTGACTGGTGTGCACCACGTTGCCTGGCTGAGTTTGGGCTTTCCCCAAACTCAGAAGCGACTGGGTCCCACGAGCAGGCGGTGAGACTCATCTGCCCACAGGCCAAGGCTGTCGGGACCCGGGGTTGGCACTCGTCACACTCACCTGTGTCGCCCAGGGCTCCCCGTCAGCCTCCCCGTCCAAGCCGCTGCCTGCATCCGAGCGGCTGTGGGAGGGAGGCAGGGCCGACTGCAGCCTCTGCAGGGAATCCTGCAGCTCCCGGACCTGGAGCGGGGCAGCGGGTCCTCAGCCTGGGGCTCGGCCACGTGGTCTCCCGCGGGCAGACCGGAGCTCCAGTCCTCAGTTTCCCTGGCCCCTCAGCTCCGCTGCACAAGCCTTGTCTTTCCCAGCAGGAAAGTGAGTCCCCTCCAGAGGGAAAATGATCCACTTTTTTTCTTTCTTTACTTTTTTGAGATGAGGTCTCACTAGTTGCTCAGGCTGGCCTCAAATCCCTGGGCTTCTCAAGCAGCCTTCCTGCCTCAGCCTCCCTCCAGGGTATCAGGGCCTACAGATATGAGCCACCACCACCACACCTAGCAAGGGAGATTTCATTTATTGTTTTGCAGAGTCGGGGAGTTCTGGGGATGCTACACATGGTCTTTTTTTTTTTTTTTTTTTTCCAGTACTGGGACTCAAACTCACAACCTCGTGCTTGCCAGGCAGGCGCTGTGCCACTGAGCTAAATCCCCAGCCCTTTTTTTGTCTTTTTGAGACAGGGTCTCGCTCTGCAGTGCAGGCTGGCCTTGAGCTCACTTTGTAGCCCAGGCTGGTCTCGAACTCGCAACGATCCTCCTGCCTCAGCCTCCCGAGTGCTGGGATTACAGGTGTGCACCACCACGGCCCACTCGCTACCCATGGTCTTCTGCATGCTAAACATGTGCTCTGTGCCAGGCATGGTGGCACACGCCTATCAGCCCAGCACTCTGGGAGGCTGAGGCAGGAGAATCAGGAGTTCCACCCAGCCCGGGCTCCGCAGTCCTGGTTCCGTGCAGGCCTGTTGATTGATCGTCCTCCCGCCTTGCCTGCGCCCTCTCTGGGCGGCCCTTACCTCAAGTCTCAGTGTGTCGCTCTCGGCCCGCGTGTGTGCGAGCTCGTCCTCCCGCGTGTCCAGCGCCAGCCGCAGCCAGGCGTTCTTCTCAGCCAGGCGGGCCACCTCCTGCCTGGGCCCCGGTGTCCCCTCAACCCCACCCGCCGCCTCCCCAGGCCCAGGGCTGCTCAGCGGCTCCAGGCGCCAGGCAGCGGCTGCGGCTTCCAGGGAGGCCAGGGCGCGCTGAAGGGTCTGGAACACGTCAGGGTCCCCGCACCCAGGATGAACAGCGCTCCTGTCCTGTGGGGCTGCCCCCTCCGGGTCCTGGCGGGCGTCCCCTCTGAGCAGCTGGGGGCCCTCCGGGGCGGGGGCCGGAGACCCATCCCCGTTCTCCTCAGCCTCTCTGCTGGCCCTGTGGAAGCCAAACAGGAGCTGAGCCATCAAACTCTGCGACTCCCAGACTCCGGGACTTAGGGTCCTGGGCTGGTCGCCCAGGGCAGCCCTGGGCCTTGGGTCCAGGAGGGGCCTGAAGCTGTGGGAGAAGACAAGGAAGGAACTGGGCGGTGACACAGGCCTGCATGTCAGCACTCTGGGAGGCTGAGGCAGGAAGATTCGGAGGTCTAGTCCAGCCTGGGCAATTTAGGGACTTAGCAAGACCCTGTCTCAAAGAATGAGAAAGGGTTGGAGATGTAGCTCAGTGTTCAGGCCCAGAGTTCAGTCCCCATGATTGGACAAAGAAACAAGGAGGGAAGGAAGGGAAGGAAGCAAAGCAGGAGGGAAGAAGGACACAGCTGGAGTTTGCAAGGTGGAGAAAGATACCCAGGGCCAGGCGTGGTGGCTCCTGTGTGTAACCCTAGCACGTGGGGAAGCTGAAGCAGGACAGTTCCAAGTTTGGGCAACTTAGAGACTTAGTGAGACCCTTTCTCAAAATAAAAAATAAAAACTGAGGAGGAAAGGTACCTAGGCAGAAAGCACAGCCCGGGCAAAGCCCTCCTGTTCCCTGCCAGGCGACACGTGGGAGGTAGGCTGAGGCAGGTGTGTGCCCAGGAGGAGCTCGGGCCAGCGTGGATGGCAAAGGTGCAAGGCTGGAGCAGGGGTACAGGCCAGGCCTCTTACCTGTTCCCTGGACCCCGGCCGCCCACCTCCACCGCTGGCCCCAGCTGCTGTGGTCCTGAGCTCCCTGGCGCTGGTGCAGGGCTGGGCCCGGAGCTCCCGCCAGCCACCTCACCCTCCTCGGAACTCTCGGCCACTGGGTCCAGTTCGCCCTGAGATTGACCGGGGCAGCTCTGAGCCCAGAGGCCTGGGGGCCGTGGGCCAGCTGTGTGGCAGACAGGGTCACTTACGGGCGGAGCGTGCCTCCCACGCCGGCTCCGGGGCCGAGTGGCCCTCGCGCTCATTGCTGTGGAAATCTGCGCCCCGACTCCTTCTGGCTTCCGGCCTCAAAGGTGCGGCCTGCCGTCAGCTCTCGGTTTTGTTGTCCTGGGCAAAGGATAGCCTCAGTCTCCCCGCACCCCCCCCTCCGGGCAGGCGGCACTGACTCTTCCCGTGGAAGGGATCTGCCTTGACACTGTGGGTGTGGCACATTTGGATGCCTTCCCGGATGGGCAGATCACTACCCAGCAAGTCTGCCCTGACCGTGCCATTCTCCTCTGCCTCGACTTCTAATCTCCCCCTTTCTCCTCGACCTGGGTGTGGGGTGGGGACCCCCAGAGAGCCCCTCCTCTCCCCAGGTGCCCCTGAACCCAAGGTGCTGCCCCTGGGGCTGCCCTCAGCTCTCTGCACCTCTCTGCTCCTTGGGGCACCTTGGTCACAGCCTGGGCTTCCAGGTCACTGTCCGCTGCCCGTTTGGGCCGGGGCTGCCAGGGCTGGCCGGGAGCGGCCGGGAAACAGGAAGCCCCCTGCCCTGCCACGTGACTGCTTATTGTGCGGCTTCCTCCTCCCGGACGGCGCTTCCTCCCCGACTGCTGCTCCTGTGCCTCCAGCCCCGGGATCTCCCTGGTGTGCCCGTCCCCAGTGGCGCTGATCGTGGGACCCCCGTGGCTTCGGTGTGGGTCACCACTCTCCACTTTGGTCATGGACAGGGCGGGGTGCTGTACCCTTGATCCAGCCACAGCCACTTCTGAGCCTCCATTTCCTTAGCTGTGACGTGGGGGTGAGCGAGCATTTCCCCCCAGGTCCCGGGAGGATCTGCTCTTGTGTGTGCAGCGATCTCCCCACTGCCCTGCCCGCTCCCCGCGCCCTCTGAGCGCCCCCTCGGCTCAGCCTGGCGTTCAAGGCTCTGTTGCCTGCGTCATGCCACAGGGATCCCCTCCAGAGGACAGAAGGTTCTCTTGGCCGCCTCACTCCCAGGCTTCGACCTGGCCTGGAATGCACTTCCTGTCCTGCACGTGGCTTAAACGGTGCAGAGCCTGGAGCCTGAGCCTTCCTGCCCCTGTGTCCCCCAGGGAGGAAAAGCCCAGGTGGTGGGGACAGAAGCCACAGTTCTCTGGGCGAGGAGCCTGGCCACACGTGACCCTGGTAGCCAGCCACGGCCTCGCCAGAGCTTGCCCGAGGCTCCAGGCCTTTGCCCAGGCCGCTCCTCCCGGCCCCACAATGGCTGGGTACCTCTGTTTCTGAGGCATCTTCACCACTCCACACTTCCAGGCCCTGCTGGCTGAGGCAGGCAGGCTGCGCTAACCCTTTCATAAATAAACTGAGGTTCCAGCCTGGTATGGTGGTGTGCGGCTGTCATCCTAGCACTCTGGGAGGCTGAGGCAGGAGAAAGGCAAATTCCAGTTCAGTCTGGGAACTTAACGACTTGACGAGACTCTATCTTAAAATAAAAAACATAAGGTTTGGGGATGTAGCTCACTGAAGAAGCCCTCCGTTCAATTCCTAGTACAGGAAAGTAAAGATCAGTGTGTTTTATCCGACGCTAGAGATGGAACACAGGACAGCACGCAGGCTAGGCAAGCGCTCTACACCGAGCCGCACCCCAGACCGGGTCTAATGTTTTGTCTTTTTTGGATTTTTTTTTTTTTTGGTCTTTTTGAGACAAGGTCTCGCTGTGCAGTTCAGGGTAGCCTTGAGCTCACTTTGTAGTCCAGGCTGGTCTCGAACTCGCAGCAATCCTCCTGCTTCAGCCTCCCGAGTGCTGGGATTACAGGCGTGAGCCACCACGCCCAGCTAGTGGTTTGTTTTATATGCATAATATGTAAAATACGGGCAAAATCCAGCAACTGGGCGGGGCCCTGGGCTCCGGCCACGCCCACTTCCGTCCGGAAGAACCCGACCCCACTGAGGGGCAGCTTGGCTCCGTCAATCATCAGTCAGTTTTGCCTCCTCGCCTAGCTCCCGCCCAATTCAGTCTCACTGGCTTATCACATTGCTAGCTAGGCCGTCTCCTGCACCTCTGCCTCGTGACAGCCTATCACAGTAGAAGAATTGAGCAGTGTAGTCTGATTGGGCCGGAAACATACAAGCTCCGCCTATTAAGGTTAGCCAATCATAATTCACAACTCCCTTCCAGTCCAGCCTATCACATTCCATTCGGCCCCACGCCTCCGGCACAATTCCAGCCTATCCGGTTCCAGGGCCTCTCCGGCCTCCGTGGGCGTCTCTCCGCAGCCAAGGGGTCCGCTGAACTACATTTCCCTGGAGGCGCCGCGGCCGCGCCTCACCGCTTCCGGCTGGAAACATGGCGGCTTCCTAGTGAATCGGGGTTTCCGTGGGGGAAAGTTAGGGTGCGATTAGTGAACACTGGGTGGTGACAGCGCGCGCGGCAGGGTCCAGGCCGGGCTAGCTTCCCTTGCCCCGGAGCCCCGGCCCCTTGAGTTCCCCGAGGCTGCCTCCTTCCCGCTTTCTCCCGCGGCCTGCGCGCATCCTTCCTGCGGCTGCTGCGGCTTTGTTCCCCGGGAGACGGGGTGGGGGCGCAGGGCGCTCAGGGCCGACCGCTCCGCTGCGCCGCGTGTCTCCCCAGGGACCTGCAGCGCCGCGATCCGCGCCTTGGCGTCGTGCAGACACCCTTGGGCGGCCAGCGCCCGCGGAAGACTCAGAGCGCGCTACTCCTTAGTCACCCAGGCGGAGCCAGTTTCAGGTAACAGAAAACCCGACTTGGAGCGGCGGCAGCCGGACGGGAAGCTGGAGGCTTAGGGAGTGTGTGCGGGTACGGCGGGGTCCGGGTGCGCAGAAGCCTGCCTGCCGGCCCCTGGGTGGGCGTCGCTTCGGGACCCCAGGCCGCCCTTCTTTTCCGCCTCGGCGGCAGAAGCGGCTCTCAGCAGCTCTCGGTTTTTATCTTCCCAGCTCTCTACGGAGAGTCTCCTCCCTAAAGTCTCTGGGAAGTCCCGATCTGCCGCTCGCAGCTCCGTAGGGTCGTGTGCCGAGGCTGAGCCATTCACAGGGCGCAGAGAGCTTGGACGCGCTCCCTGGCCGAGTGACAGGCGGAGGCAGGGAGAGCTCCGGGCAGAAGCTGGGCTGTGGCCTCGGGTCAGATCGGATGCTAGGCTGAGAGGTGGGAAAGGGTCCATTCTCCAGGTGTGCAAGCTAAGTCCTGAGAGGAGAGACCCGGCCCATGTTGCTTCTTTGTAACCGAGTGTCTTTAAAATCTCTAAGGGGAGGATCCTGGCTTCCCCCATCCCTGCTCCATCCGGCCACACGGGCACCATGGAAGCGGCTGAGCCCGGAAGCCCTACTGAGGAGGAAGAAGAGGAAGAGGAGGAGGAGGAGGAGCAGTCTGCTGAGCCTCGGCCCCGAACACGGTCCAATCCTGAGGGTGCCGAGGACCGGACGCTGGGGGCGCAGGCCAGTGTGGGCAGCCGAAGTGAAGGGGAGGGGGAGGCAGCCAGTGTGGACGATGGGACCCCCAACCCTCCAGGAGCTGGCCCCAAGCCCTGGCAGGTGCCACCGCCAGCTCTCGAGGTCCAGATTCGAACACCAAGGGTCAACTGTCCCGAGAAGGTGGTAAGTAGAGGGGCGGGCCTGGCCCTGAGCTGCCAGCCAAGCCCATTTTACTATTTTGAGACAGGGTCTTGCTAAAATGTTCAGGCAGGATTCTAACTTGTCCTCCTGCCTCAGCCTTCCAGAGTGCTGGGATTACAGTGTGCGCTACCACACCTGGTTCAGGGACAGTCTTTTGAGGCCACAGCGCAGCCTACTGTGTCCTCCTGGCCGGTGTCTGTCAGTCTGCCTCCGGTTTCTGTACTCTCTCAGTACTTGGACTCCAGCTCAATTTTCTTTCCCTGAGCTTGTGCCATGCATGGCACGGCTTGGAATTAGGGGTCACTGCACCCCTTTGCAGATGGGGCTCTGGGGAAGTGGATTGGAGCGGGGCACCCTTGACCCAACCCGGACTTTTTTGCAGATCATCTGCCTGGACCTGTCTGAGGAGATGTCCCTACCAAAGCTGGAATCGTTCAACGGGTGAGGAAAGGGTGGGGGGCTTGACACGCGGCCCCAGCCGGAAGAGAGCAGCCCCAGCTAGGGGGCTTCCCTGGAGGCCCTGCCAGTTTGGTGTGGCATTGGGGTGGTAAAAGGCAGGGCCAGGATCAGCCCCCGCCTTGGACGGGGCCCTGGGCTCCGGCAGCTGGGTCCCCATGCAGCAGAAGGCAGGCTTCTGGGAGCTTCGAAGGATAGGAGCCAGGAGGAGGTGCAGGCCTGAAGTCCCAGCTATTCCGGACTGAGGCAGGAGGATTGCTTGAGCCTCGGCATGCGCTGCCACCTGGGGAGCAGAATGAGACCCTGGCGGTGGCTCCCTTGCCTCCCTGACACCCCGGGCCCCCGTGGAGGAGGGAGAGTTGAGAGAGGCCTCCCTGGGGACTGTGAGCCCCAGGCTGACCGGAGGGGCCCTAGGAAAGGGTGTGAACTCGAAGGTCCGCAGGGTTGGCGCTGGGGGCCCCTCCTCACTCCTGCCGGGGGACAAGCAGCTGCAGAGCCAGGCAAGGACTCTCTCACCCCCCTCTGTGCCTTCTCAGCTCCAAAACCAACGCCCTCAACGTCTCGCAGAAGATGATCGAGATGTTTGTGAGGACAAAGCACAAGATCGACAAGAACCACGAGTTCGCGCTGGTGGTGGTGAACGAGGACACCGCGTGGGTAGGCCAGGCGGGCCCGGGGGCCGGGGGCGCCCAGGACCCAGCACGCCGCTGAGGCCTGTGCCCCCCGCAGCTGTCCGGCTTGACCTCAGACCCGCGGGAGCTGTGCAGCTGCCTGTACGACCTAGAGACAGCCTCCTGCTCCACCTTCAGTATCCTTCCCCCGTGCGGTGCTGGGGCTCGGCTCCCTGCGGCCCCGAGCGGCGCGGTGCAGTGACCCCGGCCCTGCTGTGGCGGGGTAGGGCTGGTTACCTACCTGCGACCCAGGCTGCACAGAACTGCCAACGCCGTGGGGCTGAGCAGGACGTGGTGCCCCGCACCTGTTCTGCTAGCACTCTGGGAGGTTGAGGCAAGAGGATCCCAAGTCCCAACCATGCCTGGGTAACTTAGTGGTCTAGGGCGATACCACTGAAAAACGAAAAGGGCTGGGAACGCCGCTCAGTGCGAAGGCCCTTGGGTCAGGTCCTGGTACTGAAAAAAATAAAACAGGTGCAGGCATGGCCCAGACTTGCTTAGAAAATGAACCTTGTGAATTTAAGAAACCGGCGCGTAGTGCGGTGGGCGGCAGAGATGCCTGTAGCTGTGGCGTTAGAAGAGAGCAGCCCCATCCCTGACAGGGGAGGCATCTTCGGGGCTTCTGCAGCTGGCACTCGGGGGGTGGTCAGTGCTGGGAGGGAACTTGCTCAGTGAGACCAGGCCACCTGGAGGGTCATGCCACCAGTCCCCGGAGACACCTGGGCTCCCAGCCGCAGTCAGAAACCCACCTGCCTCTGCCTCCAGTTCTGTGCCCCAGCCTTCTCCTTAGCATTGCCCCCAGACCTGGAAGGGCTCTTCAACCTCATGTGAGTGATCCAGTGGCAAAGAACGTGGTGGGGTGCAGCTCCCTGGTGCTCGCCTGCCAAGTGCAGGGTCCTGGGGTCTAAGAGCTGGCACCTAGACAAAGCAGAATGCAGAGAGCTTTCCCCGGGCAAAGGCTCCAAACAGGAGACAATCATGTCAGAGCCCTGGGGCCTCCTCGCCCCCACCTGCTCCACTGGCATCTCCACTGCGCATTTATCATCTACAAGACGTTTCCTGGGGAGACGCCATCCCGGGTGCCCCCAGGCTGTGAGCCCCGCACAGCTTCTGTGCTGGCAGAGTCTCAAGCCCTGTAGAGGGCCTCCTGTTAAGTATCTTCATCCTAGCTGGGCCTGGGGGTGCCCGCCTGCCATCCAAGCGCTGTGTATCGACTTAGCGAGACCCTGTCGCAAAATAAGAACTAACCATGGCGCTGGGGCTGTAGCTCAGTGCGCAGGCCCTAGGTTCCACCCCAGAACCAAACAACAAAATCTGGGCCCTCCGAAAGGCGCGCTCGGCCCGGAGCGGACCAGGTGCTGCGATCCTCCCCGGAGGCGGGTGGTGGGTGCCAAGGCACCGGGTGGGCAGCGGGAGAGGGCAGGGCCCGGTCTCCACGCCCAGAGCCGCGCTCCCCGCAGCCAGCAGAAGACGGAGCTGCCTGTGACCGAGAGCGTGCAGACCATCCCTCCGCCCTACGTGGTGCGCACCATCCTGGTGTACAGCCGCCCCCCGCGCCAGCCCCAGTTCACGCTGACCGAGCCCATGAAGGTGGGCGGGGCTTCCCCGGGCCGCGGGCAGGGGTGGGGCGGCGGGTCACCGAGCCCCAGCTGTGCCCTCTCCTGCAGAAGATGTTCCAGTGCCCGTATTTCTTCTTCGACGTTGTTTACATCCACAATGGTGGGGAGGAGAAGGAGGAGCAGCTGAGCTGGCAGGTGAGAGCTCGGGAGAGTGCCGGGCAGCGCAGAGCCGCCTGTCCAGGTCTCCACCTCCATTTGGTAGCCAGGAGCCCTGGGCCTGCGGGTTGGTCATTCAGTCATTCAACAGCCATTCCCCACGTGTCTGCTGTGAGCTGGTAGAGACTGAATGCAGTGCGGACAGTGGCCTGAGGAGCGTGTTAGGCCCGGTTCCCCCACCCCCGATTCCCTGCTTCCTCCTTTTGTTCCTGCTTTGCCCTTGCTTGTCCCCAGCCCAGAGCATGCTTCCCTCACTCCTCCTGAGGTTGCTGGCCATCCGCGTCCCGGCCATGGCCAAGCTGTGGGATCTCTAGTGGACCACTTCTGTGTCTGTATGAACAGGGACAGTTGAGACCAGCTCCTGCTCGTGCCTCCATACCCCAGTCAAAAGAACCTCCTCTGCAGTGCCTTCGCTCATACTCAGAAAAGACCATCGCAGGGCTGGAGATTTCACACTTCAAGGGGTGGGGACAGTTAGAGCGCCAGGACAGAGACCTTTAGGTGTCCGCAGTGCCCAGCGGGCATCAAAGTTGCAGACACTTTACCCTTCAGAGCCCATCCCAGATGCCCCTTTTGGGAGAGGGACGGCCTGTGCTGGGTGCGGGTGGTCTGAATAGCGCCTCACTACCCCCCAGGACATGTTCGCCTTCATGGGCAGCCTGGACAGCAAGGGCACGAGCTACAAGTACGAGGTGGCGCTCGCTGGGCCGGCCCTGGAGCTGCACAACTGCATGGCGAAGCTGTTGGCTCACCCGCTGCAGCGGCCCTGCCAGAGCCACGCGTCCTACAGCCTGCTGGAGGAGGACGAAGAGGCCACCGAGGTCGAGGCCACCGTGTGAAGCGCCCCCGTCCCCGGTGCGCAGCCTTGGTGCGGTGGAAACGCGGGTCCCCCGCGCTGGTCGTCCGTCTGCGCGCTGTGGGACCCCGGGGGGTTCCGTCGGTACCCAGGGCCCCTGAAGGCTCTCGGCAGGAATCCTGGGAGTGGACGGCCCCTGAGCTCCCGGGTGCGCACCCCCTGTGTTCGCTGGCCCACGCCCACGCCTAATTTGTCATTTGGCATTTTTGTTGCGTTTGTGATTTTTGACATCAAAATAAAATCTGAGCGATACTAATCCCGACTTAGTACACGTGACAAGAAACGCAACCAGAGCAGAGGAGGGTGAGTGGCTTTCGCCAAGGACGCAGCTGCAGGGGGAGCGCTGTCCAGGTGCCCAGGGCAAGGCCTCCGGGGAGCGCCGCCCGCCCCTCTGGCTGGGACTCCGGAAGGGGCGTAGCCCTGCCTCAGCACCTAAGTGCGATTGGGTCTGTGTGATCACGTGACTCCAAGTTGAGCGAATCATGGTTCAAGCTTCTGGAATATTCTGGTTGGTCAGTTCTAGGACCTTCCCACCCCTGGACCTTCCCACCCCTGGATTGACATCTGGCAACGCCCTGAGCGCCAGAGATGCAGCCCCTCCTGGAGGTCTTCCCTGACCCGTGCGGAGGCGACGAGTTCACCAGCAAAATGCGCTCAGTTCATGCAAAACGAACACAGCTTTATTGCTGAGGATCCGCTTCGCTCCCGTGGCACCAGCAGGGCACTACTGCTTGTCTCCTCCCGTGCTGAAATATGGTTTCCTTCTGGAAGTAGTGGCGCATGCCTGTAATCCCAGCACCCGGGAGGCTGAGGCAGGAGGATCGTTGCGAGTTCGAGACCAGCCTGGGCTACAAAGTGAGCTCAAGGCCAGCCTGTACTGCATAGCGAGACCCTGCCTCAAAAAGACAAAAAAAAAAAAAAAAAGAAAGAAAGAAAGAAAGAAAGAAAGAAAGAAAGAAAGAAAGAAAGAAAGAAAGAAAGAAAGAAAGAAAAGAAATATGGTTTCCTGGTGCTTAGATTTACACTCCCGATTTGCAGATGACGAGTTAAGGCGCTCAAAGGCATCACCCCACAGAGCAACAGACGCGGCTCTGCTGCACCGGAGACGGGACTCAGGGATTTTAGAACCGGGGGCTGGAGCAGGGCGCGGTGCCCATGCCTGTCATCTCGGCCCTCTGGGAGGCTGAGGCAGCGGGGTTGAAAAGTTCGAGCCCATCCTGGGCGACCTAAGGGTCTCAGCGCGCTAGAGGAGCCCACTCCGAGGCACGGTCCCGACTGACAGGAGATTCTCTGGGTCTCCGGCTCCGGGTCTGCCTCCGCCCTCTCCCGAGGGTGCGTTCCGAGCCCCAGTTTGGAGACCCGATAATGGCACACCCTCAGCCTCCCCGAGCCCAGCCCCTTATCGGGCAGCCCAGGCCCTGCCTGCCCGCCGCCGGGGGTGTCCGGGCTCCCGCGAGCACCAAACCCCAAGCCCGATGTGGACACCGACGCGGAGCGGGCCGGCGCTGCTGGGGACCCTGCGCGCTGTCGCCGCGCGGGGACCC